GGGGATAAGCAGTGACAGCAATTTACTCTTGGTTGCCTATGGAATGTCACAGGTGGCTCCTGCCCAAGTTATTTCCAAGAATTTCACTGTTTTGGGTAGGGCTCGGGATTTATTAATGAGCTTCTGATGGTTATGTGGGCCACCAATATATTCAAATCCGCCTGATCTTCAGTGTCTGGTATTAACATAATATTATCATTTAATACACCATCATACTTGAGATTTGCACCACATCCAAATCCCTTCCTATAACTATGACACTAAGCTGGTGAATTCAAGTAATCCTGTGGCAATACATTGAAATAAATTTGTGTTCCTTCCCACATGAAAGTAAACAGTAGCTGGTTCTTTTCTGAGACTGGGATCAAGAAGCCATTTGCAAGATCAATCACTGAGTACCAGTTTTTGCTGTATTTTCTGCACCACTGATACCATGTCTGGAACAACTGAAGGCACTGGCGGCACTACTTTATTTATTTAGTTGACCATCAACCTCCATGAGCCATTTGCCTTTATCACAGACCATACAGGGTTGTTATACAGAGAATTTGTTGGCACCAATAATCCAGCCTTTAGCAAGTCTTTATCAAATTTGTAATCTCCTTTCATCCACCAGGTATCTTGTAGTTTCAAATTCACAACCTGAGTGGCTTCCGCCATTTCTAATGGTTCCTATTCAGCACATCCAATCAATACTGGTGCAAGGGGAGATTTACATGCTTTCAGTTTTACAAGTAGAGCGAGTGCTCCCCAACTAGACATTATATCCATGTAAATAATACATTCAGGTAAAAGAGATGCAACCACTTCATACAAGATCTGTTCACAATCTTCCAACTCTCATCCAAATTTTCACCATACTCCCATCAACCATTACATCCCCTATCTCCCCAGTCTAACCTTAGGCTCCCTCAAGACTTTACTGACAGGTTTTAGAATTACAGTACAGTGGTTGTGTCAAGCAGCACCAAGACAATCTCTTCCCTATTCCAAGGCTATGTGATCCACATATATGCATATGGCATTGGGTCTTCTCCTGGGGGCTGGACCAGAAGACCCTGGTCCCCTCATCAATCCTTTTGATCAACTAGCTTCAAACGTACCAGGTGGACCTTCCATCATTAAATTCCTTCTGACTGGGATGATTATAATGGACTTAATTTTGGCCATTTTAATGTTGGGAGACCAGTAGGAGTTTCCTTGGTCTACCCGACCTTTTGTAGAGCTGCATTAGTGCCTTTGTCTCAACTCCCATCAATGTGTTGTTGTTATATGCTGTCGAGTCAGACCTGACTCATAGCTACCCCTCTTTGGGTCTCCGAGGCAGCATCACTATGGAAGTAGATTGCCCGATTGCCCAACCTTCCTTCCGAGGAGTGGTTGGTGGGTTTGAACCACCAGCCTTCTGGTTAGCAGTCAAATGCCTTAGGCATTACGCTACCAACTCCATCAATATCTGCTATATTCATCCATTTCTTGTTGTTATGTGCCGTCAAGTCAGACCCGACTCATAGCAACCCCTCCTTGGGTTTCTGAGGTGGTATCACTACAGAAGTAGATTGCCCAACCTTCCTTCTGAGGAGTGGCTAGTGGGTTTGAACCACCAGCCTTCTGGTTAGTAGTTAAGAGTCAAGTGCCTTAGGCACTATGCTACCAGAGCTCCAATTGCATTTCTTAGTAACCATCTAAAAATCTCCATACTGCCAGGGTAAGTTCTTTCCTCATTGCCTCTTTCTGTTCACCTATGAATCATCCTTATGCTTCTTGTATCTTTGAGACCCACGTGGGGAAGCTGTGCCGACACATCCAACGTGGCTTCTCAGATTGTTGTTTTGTCTCGCAGTAGGAATGGTACAGTGGGGCCTATGTGGAAGGGGCTCCCTTCATTCCTGTATCTGCCTTGGGCTGTGTAAAGGGCACACACATTGAATGAATGTCCTGATCATCATAAAGCCATGGTTGGCATAAACAGGACATTAGCTTTTTATTCTGAAATGTTCTGTTGGGTATTTAGAGGGGGGGGATGGGTAGACTTCCTTCTCTGGGTAAAGAGGTCTCACCATACATTTTATCCAGTCCACCAGGCTGCCTATCTCCTCCAGGTTTTCCTGCTGTGTAACCAGGTCTTGGATCATTATTTGTGACTGGCCCATAGAGAGTTGTGGGTCTTCCATCAACCCACATATACTTCAGTTCTGCAGCACTCAGAACTAAAGACACTGCCCCTAAATTAGTCACAATCACAATCCATTTTAGTAAAGGTTTCTGATGATACTGATCTACAAACTGAAGCAACTCATTTACACTGTACTGCTTAGTTTTTATAATTTCTCATTTCATTCTATTCCCCTCCAGAAGTACCTTCTTGGTGACCAGTGGTTGTAGTAGTTCCTTTGTTCAAACACAATTTTTACTCTCTGACCAAACCAGATCTAGGTTTGGTTCACTGATACAATCCACCTGTACATTATTTCTCCCCCTGCCACTGCAGCTATTACTGATAAGGGAAACCAAGGAATTGTATGTTTTGCTCTTTCTTTATCACTCTATTTCCATGTGCCTCAAACTAGTCAATTCCTCAGGAGTTAAATCTGGCAATCCTAGGTGCCATGAATAGTTCTTGCCTTGGATAACTGTTGCAACATAATTCCTTCAATCCATGGGTGTATTTTTATCCCACCCACAAACTAAAGGTTTTTCATTCTCCCATTTATCCTGTGTTCTCCAAAACTACATACTCCAGAGAGTCTGGCCCATTTTAGCAAATCCCACCATTCTGACACCAACTAAAGGAGTATCTTTTAGAAGAATCAACACAAAACCAGTTCCTATAAGGCAGAGGTTAAAGACCCCACATATCCAACTTTTCCAAACTGTCATACCACTCCACTGTCTCTAACATCAACCACTATCCCTCCCCTCAGTACTCTACCCCTATCTTGGGTTCCATAATTTGCTGCCACATCTCACAGAACTCATAAGCCATTAAGGAAATGGCTCACACATTTGTGGAGACAGGCAAGTCCCAAATCTGTGGGTCAGTCATCAGTCTGGAGCCCGCTCCCAACATGGTTACAGGGGCTGATGAACCCAAATCCGCAGGTCAGACAGCAAGCCTCTGGCCCACAAGGCTGCGCAAGGCAGAGAATCTGATCAGATGACAGACTGCCTCTAGTTCCAAGAACCAGGGGTAAGTAAACGAGGAGCCAGATGCAGGACCCAGAGCGAGAGAGAACCCTGCCTGGGTATCATGTATTGGATGCACACATCACCCTCAACAAACTCTCCTAACTTGCACAAGGCAGCAGAAGGGTGTGAGGGGCGGCGACTGGGTTAAGGACAGTGACTTGAGTCACATCCTCCAGCAAGGCAGGGACTTAAGCTGCATCTCACCCTAATCCTGCCTCATTCACGTAACAGACAACTCACTCTAAAATGGGACCATTATCACAGGCACAAAGGCTAAGATTTACAACCTGTCACAAAACGGAGGGCTATGGCTATCAGGGCCTTATGAAATAATTCACTGCAGCACCCTTAACACAGTCCCATCCAATCATCTTGTGGGAGTTACAAGACCATGGGCAAAAGGCCATACAAAGAGAAAGTCATTGCCCTGCAGACAGATGATAGAATTACTAGCATATATTTTCTTCAGGTGTGTGGGACAAAGAACTTGATTAGGCCTTTGCCTCTGATACCTAAAAACAGCCCTTGGAATTTTCCAAGCAATCAAGGAGACTTTTGTTATTTTAAACAGCCAGGCAACACTTAAATGTGTCCAAATTAGTTGAAAGCCCCTAACAGCACAACTGACAATAAACCTCAGTAATGGAAGAGGCCATGATGCAATTAATCATTCATACTCTGATTCAACTTAGTCTGTCTACACATTGAGACCCCACTCATGCATATGCACTATTACCAAAGGGCCCTGCACATGCTATCATTGGGCATCCTAATTGGTAAGAACATCCATGAGTTTCTCCACCTCACATATGGAAAGGATGGGACATCCCTGGGGACAATAAAGATCTCCTGCCTGCACGTCTACCAAAGCACACCTGATGTGTGTCTTTGTTTGAATCCTCCTGGTTATAAAAGTAACTACATTTAGAAGCTCTCTGTGAATTCCTTTAGCCAATCCAAGGAACTAACACACCTACAGGGCCAGAGAGAGCCAGCACAGAATATTTGCATATTTGGCAGTCTGAAGGAGCAAGTTCTTTTACTTGTAAGACCTCATCTAGGTCCTTATAGTTAAGTGTAACATTTAGAGTGGCTGGTGATGAAGAATGGAAATGCAGTAATTCTAATTACTGGCTCTAATTCCACGTGGGAACTGGGTTCATGCCGATCCATACCACACAGTCAGCAACAAATGTGGGGTTAACCCACCTTGCCCCCTTGCCTATATAAGGGCTTTCTCTTTTCTAAGAGTTCTTCCACATTTTACCAAAAATGTTTCTCACTTTTCATGTATGAAGAATTTTCTTTCCCTATCTCTTAACCTATAATGAAGTAAAAATTTATCACTGAAAACATCACATTCTCTCCTAAGGTTGTGGACATGTGAGAATTATTTGACAGTACTTGAAAATGCACTTCTATTCAGTTTTCCCCACAACTCTACACTCCTACTCAAGGTGATGTGATAGATGTTTAATAACCCTGCCTTCCCACAAAAGGCTTCTTCACAGTTACTGCATCCAGTGTTCCTATCCTAAATCAGCAGAAAATGTGCAAGGGATCCTTCCATACCTTGTAGGAAGGCATTTCCCACATGCCAGGTATCTGAGTTTTTTTTTTTTTTTTTTTTTTTTCCTTCCCCGAAAAAGAACCGGAAAAACGAAAAAAAAAATTAATACAGAAGGTGTCGTCACATTTACTCCATGTGCAAGGTTGACTCCCTGTGAAAATTCCTATTTACTGACACCTGACTTGTTCAAAAAGATGTGCCACAACCACGGTATTTCCACCCCCTACGAACTCACTGAGCTTTAAGGCTGAGCTCCTGAATAAGGCATTTCCATGGGTACAGGCTTCATGGGGTTCAATTCCCGTAGGAGTTCACTCTTACATAAAGAGCTGTGATTCCCTGAGGATGGTTTTCCCACCTTCGATGAATTTACTGCTTTCTCTTTTGTATGAGTTTTCTTATGTTTAATGAGGAATGACATGTGGGTAAAAGATTTGCCACAGTCACTGCACCCATACGGTCTCCCTCTGGTGTGAGTCTGCTTATGTTGCATGAGCTTATACTTGCTTCTGAAGGCTTTCTCACACTCACTACACTCATAAGGTCTCTCTCCTGTATGAATTCTCTGATGATTGGTCAGGGCTGCCTCAAAAAGGAAGGTTCGCCTGCACTCACTGCACTCATACGGCCTCTCCCTGTTATGAGTTCGCTGATGCTGAATGAGCTCGGACTTGCACCTGAAGGCTTTTTCACACTCACTGCACTCATAAGGTCTCTCTCCTGTGTGGATTCTTTGATGCTTGGTCAGGGCTGACTTAAAAGCAAAGCTTCTTCTACACTCACTGCATTCATGAGGCTTCTCTCCTGTGTGAAGTCTCTGGTGTACAATGAGGTACGCCTTCTGGGAAAATGATTTCCCACACTCATTGCATCTGTAGAGTTTCTCTCCAATATGCGATCGCTGATGTCTCCTGAGGCGGCTCTCCCAAGTGAAGGCTTTCCCACATTCACTGCACACATAGGGTTTATCTCCTATATGAATTCTCTGATGGTACAAAAGCAGTGGCCTTTTGGAGAAAACTTTCCCACATTCACTGCATTTATGTGGTTGCTCTTCTAAATAAGTTTTTGGATGATCATTGAGCTGTGACCTCATGTTACTCGGATGAACACTTCCAGGATATTTAATTCCAAGAGAAGTTTTCTCCTGCTTCCTGTAGATAGATGCTTTCCTATAACCACTAAACTCATCAGAATCTTTTCCCACATCTCTTCTATTCTGGATAACAAAATCTAAATGAGATTGAAAACTTCTACAATGTGAGTCAAACGTATTGTGTCTTTGTGTTGAAGGAATGAGATTTCTGCTTAAACCAAAATTATGTCCAAGTGCAAAACTCTGCAGACATCTTTCCAAACTTTTAAGCTCATTTTGGTTTTCAGGGTGCTGCTGCATACAATCGATCGCCCATAATTCTTCTAGGAAAAAGAGAATATCCACAATCATTTTAGGGAGGGAAATAAAATATAAAACAGCCAGTTTTGGACAGCTTTTATAAGACACCAGTTGTAATAAACAAGCCCTGTAAAAATGTAACCTTCATGAGAAAAGAGAAAAACGGTATTAAAAAAAAGAGGAAAAGGAAAACCAGCCACTGTGGAAACAACGATAGATGGTCTGCAATTAATGACTGTCATGTAGGCTGCTTTCCAAATTGGACCTTACAAAATGGGGACAGAAGTAGAAATAGGAAAAAATTACTACTGGAATAGACCAAAGGAAGAAGGAGGATTGTAGGGGGTGGATCTATTAATCCAACACACATTTACTGAATTGAGCTAGGTGTCTGGGACATCAAAGTAACTCATATATTAACTGTCTTCATGGAATCGTCACTCTGTTGTTGATAGGTGTCATGGGGTTGGCTGTGACTCACAGCAGCCCTACATACAACAGAGCCACACGCTGCCCAGCCCTGCGCCACCCTCACAGTCCTTACTGCACTTGGACCCACTGCTGCAGCCACTGTGTCAATCACATTGGTGAGGGTCTTCCCCTTTTTCACTGACCCTCTAATTTACCCTAAGGGATTGGTTTGTCATTCTAGTACAGTTTGGGGAAAAAAAAAAATCAACAGGTGCAAATGAATAAGAAAATGACAGAAAAATGGCAACAAGGAGGTGAGAGAGAAGTGGCACGTCAATCTCATATAAAGTAATAATCCATGGAAAATGGACAGTTGAGCTGGCATCATAATATAATGAGCACCATGATGTAAAGACTAGATGAAGGACAATTTCAGAAGACAGAACATAATGCAAAAACCCAACGAGGCAGCATGATCATGGAACCTAAGACATGATGGTGTTAATTGGTATATCCTGAGCTGTTAAAGTAAGACTAGGTAAGACTGGAAAGTTAGGCACTATTGAGAACTTACGTATCTTGTAAGACGACATTCATGGAAAATAAATTTATGCTACAAATAATGACAGTAAGCCAACAGAACATTTCTGGCAGAAAACTATTCTGATAATTTCAAAAGTCCCATGACTATTATATGGAGAATAAACTGAAGAGATGAAATTGTCAAAGAGAACAGACAGGAGGCAATGGTAAAGTTCAGGCAAGAGGTAACAGTAGCTTTGACATGACTGACTAGTATGGAGATGGAGAAACAGGACATAGTCTGGAGGAGAAAAAGGCAAGTAGGGAGGAAGAAAAAATAAGACTCGCAGTTAAAACAAATGCTGGAGGTAGTAAAAGGGAAGAATGAAGTTAGCTTCTAGGTTTGTGGCATCAGAATCTATGTAAGTGCTAGTGCCATTTAATAATATACACATTCTTGATTGAAAAGCAAAATAAAAGTTAAAACAAAAATGAAACACAATAAGCAGTGATCAGAGGCCATTTATAGCAATAAGTGCACTCATCAAAAGAGAAGAAAGAGCCAAAATCAACACTTTAAA